CGCAAGTTGGCAAAAGCTAGTCGAGCCTTCTGTATCCGTGCTGAGATTTCGTCACAAACCAAACCACAAGGGCTGATGAGACTTCCAAGATAAGTGAAGCGGTCGACACACTCAACTACTTCACTCCCTATCACTAGTTCGGGTGTCGATGTAACCCAATCCTGAAGCAACATTTTACATTTCGAGGGAGAGAATCGCATCCCGAACATGCTTGCATTGTTGCTTAGAGTGGTCAGAAGACTCTGCATTTTGTCAGCGTCTTCACCAAATAAAACTATGTCATCTGCATATTCTAAGTCAACAAGTGAACCTCCCGGTAGAAGTTCAACCCCTGGAAATTTAGATGAGGAGAGTGTTATCTCTAAAAGTACGTCGACGACAAAGTTGAACAAGAATGGGGAGAGTGGACAGCCCTGACGAACACCACTTGAGGTGATCAATTCTGATGACAGTTCGCCATAAGCTCTCACTCTACCAGTTGTGTTCGAGTAGAGAGCCTTTATAAGGTTAATGTACTTCTTTGGTACTCCTTTCAGTGACAAACACTGCCATAGAACCTCACGATCTACAGAGTCGAATGCCGCCTTAAGGTCGAGAAATACTACCATTGTGGGGCGTCTGAATGTGTGTCTCTGTTCTAGAACCTGACGTAGTGTGAATATCTGATCTATACAACCACGTCCAGGTCGAAAACCAGCCTGGTTTTCTCTAGTCTGTTCTTCACGAGCTTTAGTTAGGCGTCGAAGTATTATTGAGGCCAATATTTTAGACACTATATTAGTCAAACTGATTCCTCTGTGATTGTCACAAGAGGACTTTTGTCCTTTCTTAAAAACTGGCACAATCAGTGATTGAGACCAGTCAGATGGGATTACGTCCAGTTCCCAAATTCTACCTAAGACCTCAGTTAATCTTGCTGCTAATACTGGACCACCATCCTTAAAAATCTCAGGAGTAAACATGTCAGGGCCTGCTGCTCTCCCTCGTTTCAGATTTCTTATGGCTTTTTCAACTTCGTAAAGGGACGGAGGACTTACATTAACTTGCCATTCAGGTTGACTGGAGATCGTGGGAAACCGAAGTGTGGCTGAACCCTCGATAATGTAATAAGAAGACGAAGATTATCAGAACTATCCTATAACCAATTTCGATTATGCTTAATTTTGGTTGGGCCATTTTATTCATTTAACAGACAATGTTATTTGAATAATAACAATTCGCCATGGTCCACCAGGGTGCTTGATACCTTTGTGGTTGCGCCACAGGATTGAGCTGTACTATTCAGATTGTAGCGTTAAAGCCTGTACAGTGTCTGGTTCTTCTGCTAAACGGGGTTGAGCTGTACTATTTGGGTTTTTACGTGAAAGTCCGGATGGTGTCTGGTTCTCCTGGAAACCAATGTAAAATTACCCTGGCCCACAAGGGTATATTATATAACTGTGAACTGTGAACAATTCGTCTATTTCTTTGTACCGTTATGATCACTAGAGCACATAACACACTCGTGTTAAAATATTGGTCGCTTTTATATATATCACTCGATGATTCATCCTCCTTCCCAGGTATATATGTACTCAAATCTTATTATTAGTCTGCTTTGCCTTTCTGTGCCCTAATGAAATTCGACTATAAATTTGCCTATGTAATTGCTACCATATACATATTCCGCTCTCTGCTACAAATTCGCTCGATGTACTTATAGCTATGTGATCTGCGCCATCCTCTAATAAACTGTAGTTGGCGCTTCTTACTGCTTTCTGATTACAAACACTATTGAGATTTATATCATAGCGGTTACTGAGGTGATTGATTAACGACACAAAGCCACTACATGGTGTTATCAACTGAAACTAAGAAATGTTACTATAAGTAAGCAACTTGTCATGTGAACACAAAATTCCAAATAAATATTTAATTGCAAGTGCATATCAATACGAAAACCAAGTCTAGAATTTCTTGTCGATTAGCATCAACGATCAAATATAAAAATAGGTATATATGTGTTAGATTTCATCTTTAGCTAGATTTACTATTTTGTATGTATGTTGAAAATCAGGTGTCTTTGAAAATTTAAGATATGTTACTAGCTAAGATGTTGGTTGGAGGTAGTCAACAGGAAATCCCAATGATCGATCAATTGTAAATACATCTCAGTCTCACAGGAGGTCAGTCGCGGCCCGATAACTTAGTGGCAACGTCTCTGACTGTGAAGCATAGTAACATGGGATCGAATCCATTAGGGAGCATCAGTTCTGTCAATATGACAGGCATATCTTGGTGACGAGTGTCAAGTAGCATGAAACCTAGGTCCAGAGTTTCTTGTTGACTACCTCCAACCACTATCTTATCTCAACTTAGTGCACCCAATATCACCTAGACTGGTGGTCACATTGCAACTGAGTCGACAGGATTCGATCTATACTAAGAAGGACTTGACGTACATGGCGTTGATCATCACTCAGTGATCAATCAATTGTAAATATGTTACTAGCATATTTTACTCATTACTTATTGCATAATCAACATTTTAAAAGTTTGAATATAATGAATAGTTCAATTACTTACAAGCAGTTAAACACAGAATAACACATCTGAAGCATATTTAACAATGTATTCAATGATAATATTTTCATTGGAACATTTCGAATTTGATGATCTTCGTTATGGTAAGCAAATAAGTATACACGTTAGATGTGACGAAATTCAATTCTATTATACAAGGATATATTTCATGTGGAATATGGATTTTTGAAATATTACACATTGTTGGCACTAAATAATGAGAATCTAATGGGGTGAATCGAATTGGCCTTATTTTATCTAAATCATTGGTATTACATTGTAAAACATCTGAATGAATGAATAAATATCCAAGACATCACAATTCTACTTACTGCGGTGTTTTTAATAAGTTAGCATTTTTTTATGATCTCTTCCGCCTAGTAGTGATCATTCTTTTGAATTCAGGTCGATACACACTAAAACCGAGTTGTATTCTTTCTCTTGAAGAAGCCATGACAGTTATAACAAATCATTGTTGCAAGGCCCAACTTTCCTTTGATTTTTTTCAAATATTACTTGGATAGGTGATGTTACTAATATCAGATATCTTGTAGAGGCTGGTACTATGTCAAACCCACATAGGTTATTCCACTTTTTAGACAAACCAATTTATTAATTCTGCTCAAACCATGTTTTGACTTTGTCAACGATCTATTTATCAACGTTGACTGTTTTTATGTAAACTTATGCGTGTACATTTCTTATCTTATTCATCACACGTCCATAACTTATTTTTTTTCTGACTACAAAGATCAATTAACGCTTAATTAAATCGAATTGGCTCACTCGCCTCCAGCATCGTGCGGCACTTTGATTTGCTTCGCTTTCCAATCAACGATTAAACGGAATATACACACTCAATAATCCACCCTCGTATTTGATTTATTTAATTCCGTTATTCGTCAACGTGGTTTAAGTCGATGATAATATACGAGGATTGACGACATGTGTAAGTCGATAACGATAGTCACACGATCTACCTAGGTTCAAATCTACCGGCCACTGAAACCTATACAAATTAGCATTCGCTTTAGTTTCGTGATATTGTTGGTTAGAATTGTACTTCTATAGTATGATGCCATAATTGTAATATTGTACTCATCATGTTACCGTACAATAGTTGTGCCGTTCAGTTTTCTGAATTAAATGATCAATAGAACTGTTTGGATGCTATTAAATTCCTTTGGGGATTTCATATATAGATTTGGTTCCTATTAGAAATTCTAAAAGATCAACAATGATATCAACTAAAGAATACGATGAATTCATTTTATTTCTTCAACTTCATCGTTACTTACATGCAAGTTGATCAGTTTGATCATTTCGAATTGTTAACAAAACTTCGAACTTGACGAAATATTCTATCAAGTGACTAATAAATTACTTTCTCTAAGTAACTGTAAGTCCATCTTATACAGTGAAAAGTTAATATCGAGAAGATTCGGTTCTAAAGATGAGGTTGTATTGAAGTAATAAGGCAAAATATGTACTTTAATATTTATTGGAATTATTCAAAACATTATAGACTTCTTTATTTGAAGGTGAAGCTATTTAATGAAACATGAAGAAATCTAACAGAACCTATTCTGTTGACAATTTAAAGTTGACTATCACTATTAATAAACTATTTCGTTTGTTACATTCACTGCCACGCAACTACTATTTATGTATGTGTATTCATTTTTTTTGTTTATCTACTTTGCAGAAGTAACTCCGTAAAGGGAAGGTAGTTATTTTTATTTATTTAAACACATAAACATTGATACAAGGAGGCACCAAATAGATATGTACTACATAAATCATTCGATTTGTGTGAGGGCTAGGATACTTCCCTGGTGCCCAAACCAAAGCAGGTGGTTTCTTTAGGTCACACCCAGAGCCTTCGACTTAAAGATCTAATCCACAAGGTAGTGGAGTAATGTTAGGTGATGCAGTCTCATGGTAATTGGTGACCAACGATTGGTTCATATGCCATTTGTTCCTTCAAGATACTGAAGCCCATGTAATTAGAACTTTCTTAACAAAAACCACAAACATGTGAATGTGTGAAGGCACTTTAAGAGAATGAATGAACTCTCTTAATCCTCGACCATATCACGGAATTCAGTGATGAAACATAGTAACGATGATGATAATAATAATAACAAAAACATTAATTTTATTGTAAAACGAGTAGTTGAATAGGTAGTTTACATGAATGATAATAATCATAATCAAAATAGAAATTTTTTTACAACTAAGTTCAAATTCAAATGAAAGACAATTTAGAATTAAATTTTACATAGAATGTTTGTTCAATACTGTTTTTTTTAAGGGTATCTCCCATTAATCTACCACTACTAATACTACTACTCATACTACTTAATACCATTATGAACCAATAGCAGAGAGAACAATCTGAAATAAACTATATCGCTTAAAATTCTATTAATTAACAATTAAAAGCCATCAACTCCAACTAGACAACGTATTTTTTCATAGGTTACCCAGAATGTTAAAGACCAAGGTGCCTGTAAATTAAATTAGAAATAAAAAAAATTAGGAATTAAAATTGTAATAAGAAACAGGATTAGAACAATGTACAATATACCTATATATATATGAAAATCATACACTGAATACATCATTCGCACATCTTTGCTTTGTCCTTTAGACACTCGATTATGCCTCTAACTCTGTTGTCGTTACAATCGCTCTCAGATTTCTTTCATGTTCTCTTCATCGCGATCTTCTTTTACCAGCGGTTCCATTTCCGACTGGTGCTACATACTACTTATATCTGCCAGCATAAGTAGTATGCATCACACATGTATCTTATAATTAGTATCTAAAGTGCTTAAAATTGGTAAGAATAACTTGCATGCAACCACATAGTGGATTTGACATGGTGCATAAGTTAAGTTAACAGAAATACGTGTTTATATGCAGATTTAATCTAAGAGTTAATGAATTGATCCAGGACGAGGTCGATTGTTTTCCTATCATTACTAAGTATTCTCAAACACTGATTACATGATTTAACCCTAACACTCTTAAATCTAGCACCTAATCTTAACACTCATAAATGATGATAAAAGTTGAGTACAAATTGTACTAAGGATACTTGTACTTCACGCATGTAAATGTTGAACGGTAGACAAGCGATAAAAAATGGAGAGAATGTATTACCGAACTTCAATGCTTTATTGTTATTCGGTAATACAGCGAATTACATAATAATACTGACCCAGAATTTTATAAGCATGAGATACAAGCAATTACGCAAAAGCATACATACAATCGCTCATACATGTATAAAAAAGGATCAAGGCGATACATCAGCAGTTGACAGGTGAAAATATGTGATATAATAATCTAAAAGATAAGAATAATTTGTTTATCCGCAAGTTAGAATAAATCGTGTAAGCGCGTAGTAGTAATACACAGTGTTACAATGCCTAAATATTAATTCAGCCCTGAAAAAAAAAAGACTTTCCTATTTAAGAAACTGAATTAACAAATCAACACATACATGATCAAGTATAGTTATGCGAAAAATCGGTTCATTGAAAAAAATAGAAATTCTCTCAAGACATAATGTGTTGAAAGAATTCAATCTTCGAATTTCGAGTAGGAAGTCTGAAATTCATTCCATAATCTATTAAAGTTTTTACAGTTTAGTGCTATTGTGGTGCGTGCTACTTATAGTGATGTAAGTAGTATATGACGCGAGTTAAAAACAAAATGTCTGGCAGCAGAAGATGGGGGAAGATCAAGAAAGGAAGAGCGGGAACACAATGCAATTTGTAAGGAAACGCATGAGTGCATGAGACAATGGATTGATGATTGCGACAGGAAGAGTCCGGTTTGCTATGACGGATTGATATTTTGCAAATTAACAATTTACTATATGGTTTTTCTATTATACCAAGTAACTCTGTAATTTTGTACTAAATACAATCCGATTGTCCCCACCCGTGTTCTATTCACTACACTATTACTACTACTGTTTACGATCATGATCATACACAATAAAAAATTCACTTTAAAGTCGAGTGTACAAAAGTATGTGCATGACTGCACCGAAATATTCCCACTAAAGCAACCGAACAGTTTCAAATAAGTTGTATTTATCATTAACTCCGCATGTAGCTCTTATACGGCTACTGCCGTTCTCAAGACCGAGTAAAGGAGGGTTGGGTATGTGGTCAGCAACCAAATCCCATAAAAAACAATCTCCATAAAAACGCCAACCAGATCAAACAAACTAGACATCTTCAACTATGCACTGGGAGTTGAAGGATCTTCATTCAAAACAATTGTCACGCCTAGTGATGAAAGTCCAGATTCTTCGGCGGAACACATGAGGCCGATGCCTCACGAAATGTTTGGGCAACGTGGGAGACCTGGAAGACCAGTCAAATAGCAACACAAAGGAGGAGATACAACTTGACGCTGCTCAGAATCAGTGACACCCACTGAATCCAAGCTGAACAGAACATGATGGATTCGGGAGAGATGCTGCTGTACTCTGGTCACGAAGAGGGAAATGCTCTACATACTCATGGAGTTGCTCTGATACTGGCCAAAGAAACATGCAAAGCACTTATAAGATGGGAATCTCATGGACTCAGGATCATCAAAGCATTCTTAAAAAAAGAGAGAATCAAAATCAATGTGATCAAATGTTATGTAACCACCAACGGGGAACGGATCAAAGAAGCGCTAACTTCAACGTGTCAGGATGTGTCAGGAGGCAGCAACAAGTATCATCATAAGGAATGGATCTTTACAGAAAACCTACACAAGATTCAAGAAATAAAAACAAGAAGGAGGAAGATAGGAAAAGACGTTGGAAGTGGATAGGGTAGACATTGAGGAAATCATCAAGTTGCAACATGAGGCAAGTGCCAACTTCGAATCATGAAGGGAAATAGAGAAAAGGAACGTCAAACAACACACTGCATCGGGAATTGGAAGCAGACATGAAAACGAATCATAGCAACTCGAAAGGTGTGAGTATGTGCATCTTATTATATTATTTGTATTTATCAACCATTAAATGAAACAGTGAGTAACTGTGAAAATTACTTCCTTTAATCATCAGAAAAATTCGATAAAAATAAAACGTCTTACCATGCGAGCCCATATCAAAAAGAAACCTTTGTACAAAGCTGAGAATCCCTCATTTTTAACAGTTTTACGAAAACAATCAATCACTCCGGCATATAATAGACCGCTTCCATTTATTGACGACGATGCTGTTGTACGTTGATTCATCATTCGTGTTTTTATCATATCAGCTGGTGTCCCAAGTACTGCCGCAACAAAACCAGACGTAATCGATGCACAAACATGAAGTAGCGTACCATCCTACATACAAAAAATAACAATTCAACACATAATTCCATTTACACTGGTCTCTTCTAGGCTTATGAGTTATACTTTTAGGCCTACATTATATTTATTATGGGACATAACAGTAATACGTGATATCAGTAACACTGAGAAGTAGTAAACAAACGAGTGGCTCTTTTCTCATAAGCAATTTTATTTGTTCGTTATCATTTATGAGTGTAGCACAACTTTTAATTAATATAAAATATAAAGCAATTAGTCCCTTTGATAAATTTCGATAATGTAATAAGATGAAGATTATCAGAACTATGTGATATATTAGCGCAACAATCTCATAACAAATGTACCTGTTTGGGTTTTTACGTGAAAGTCCGGATGGTGTCTGGTTCTCCTGAAAACCAATGTAAATTTACCCTGGCCCACAAGGGTATATTATATAACTGTGTATGTGGGGCTTAGAAATCAATGCTAGGAAGAGTGTACTAATGCACATCGGTCACGGTAATAGTTACCGTTACACTATTGAGGGTAAACCTCTTCCATGCGTTCAAGAGCATAAAAACTTAGGAGTAGTATAAGTCATGATTTAAAAACAACTACGCATTGCAAAGCAGCCGCTGTCAAAGGTTTTCGTGCGTTATGGTCACTTCGCCGAGCGTTTAAACCTTTGACGAGGAAACGTTTCGAATTTTATATCCAATATTTGTTAGACCACATTTAGAGTACTGTATCCAAGCAGCTAGCCCGTGTCTGGTAAAGGATACTAACTACCTTGAGCGTGTCCAGCGTGTGGGAACGAAATTAGTGAAGGGTCTTTCTAGACTCCCTTACGATGAGCGTTTAAAACGCTTAAATCTTTTCTCCTTATCGTATCGTAGGACACGAGGTGACCTCATACTGGCATTTCGTATCTTTAATTATGATTTGGGTGTTAATATGTCCTATCTTTTTGCTCACTCCAGTACTAATAATCTCCGAGGTCATAGCAAGAAGGTTCATAAACCACGATCTAATAAACTTAAAGTGGGGTCCCGTTTTTCTCATCGAGTAGTCAGTCATTGGAACGCCTTAGCCGAACAAGTGGTATCAGCCCCATCAGTGAATACTTTCAAGGAGAAGCTGGACCTTCACTGGAAAGCAATGTGTCTGGATTAATACAGGTTCACCAACCTACTATCCTTATTACTGAAGACTGAAGACTGTTAAGAACATTTATATCTAAAAAAATAAAAAGTCAACTAGACTGGAAATGGGGTAAGAGGAAATAAGGATAATAACATCAATAATAATAATAATAATAATAATAATAATAATAATAATAATAATAATAATAATAATAATAATAATAATAATATGAACACAATTTGAAACCTAATCACTCTGGATAATAAGCCAATATTACCAGGGCAGGTCTAAGGAGAGCAAACTGTTTTGAATACACAAAGGGAGTTTGAATTTTCGTATGTCTAAGGTTTCAATAAACCTTAGTATACGCTCTTTTACACTTTTATACAACAACACAAAAGCCGAGTTAAGATCAGTCTTATGGCCTGTTTCGATTATATGTTTAAGAATAGAATAAAATAATTTGAAATACAAAGCTGTTCACTTTGGAGTTTTCAGTAAAATTGAATTCAAGATTATTAATAATTAGATATAAATCAGAAATCTTAATATTTGTATTGAAGGATGATGGCCAGCAGTGGAATCCAAGACACACTTCGTCTTATTTGGGACTCGTTAGCAGTATCAATGCAATCTGCGCACGATGCGCATATACCAATAAGAGACTGATCAATTACAATCCTAAAAGTCAACGGGAAGATTCAAACGACTAATACAAAAGTGTTAATATTTGTGTCGTAAATACTTTATAACTCAATGCATTTTACATACTAATTAGAGCGTTTTAATATCGCCAATTAATTTGGATATTTCCTGGTGTAGGAGTAGTTTGGAAGAAAGCTAGGGGTGGTAAAACTCAAATATAACATCAATTAATGAGATTACCGACTAGTGGATTAAACTAAGATGGTTGGTGTAGGCTATCTGGTTGAGGTTTATGTGAGTATCGAGACCAATGATTAATATTGGGTAACATGGATAAAAATCGGTTACGAAGGCGTACATGCATTCACTTTCGGCTCTCTCTTAAGTTCTGAGTTTTATACCTCATTATTCCACAACTTTTTTCTCTCACATCTATGTGTCTAACAATTTTCCATAACACTTGAACTTCTACTTGATAATTTCATCACGTTGTGTTGATATGATGTCAACTTAAACCATGTGCCAGGATTTACGATGATTAGGACTGACTGAATGCATGTGTTGATACACGAAGGTTCTTCTTTGTATTGTAAAAGAGTGCAAAACTGTCCATCGTTGATGAACCACAAATTAGAGTACAATATCTATTAAACTGTCTAACAGATGAAGACTTCAAATATATTCTCCTAAACAAATAAAAAAATATAAATGGATCTTCAACACAACTCACTTCTAATTGAAAACGCACGGCAAACCAACGCTTTGATGTGTCGTAAGTGGTAAGTTCACCCATATTCACAAGAGCTGCACGTTGAACACTAGGTAATCCTCCACGCCACAATCCAATAATTCCACCCTCGGAAATAATTTGTTTAGCTGTACGTGTAAAACTTAAGCGTCTGAAATTAGAACAAATGAAAATATTCCTGATTAAATTGATTATTTATACAATAATGTAATAGAATTAACTAAATATTCCGTAAAATAACAGCTGGGAAAGTATAAAAGACAGTTGCTTGATTCTGTCTTGTGGGAAAAACAACAGAAGCGAAGTACACACTACAGCGCACGAGTCTTAGACGCCCGATAATTATTGAGGCTAGCACTTTAGATGCTATATTAGTCAAACTAATCCCTCTTTGGTTAACGCAGGATGATTTTGACCCCTTCTTATGTATTGGAACAATCAGTGACTGCAAACAGTCAGATGGGATTACGTCCAACTCCCAGACTTGAGTTTAAAAATATTATTCAACCTAATCGCCAAAACTGGACCACCATCCTTAAAGACCTCTGGAGCCAATCCATCTGGACCAGCTGCCCTTCCTCATTTCAGATTAGTTATAGCTTTTTGAACTTCAATGTTCCATTCAAACTGTTTAAGAATGGTGGTTAGTTGTAGAGTAGCTGAAGGCCAGCTAAACTGCTCTCTAAAGTGTTCTGCTCATCGTTCCAAAGCTCTGGGCTGAGAGCAGATAAGTGTCGGCTTTTCCCGAGAGCGTCTCACCTACAATTGACTTCTTAATTCCAGTTTCTTTTATTAATCTGTGAAGCTGTCTGATGTTACCTACAGACGCCGCCTTTTCCATCTCTTCTGCTTTCGTTGCCCACCACTGCTCACGGTCGTTCCTTAGACTTTTGCTTAACCTAGATCTGATTTGTTGTCGCTCTTCATCGTGTTCAGAGCCTGATGGGATGAGTTTACGGGAATCCATCAGTGCAATAAACCTAGAGGAAATCCATTGGTTCTTTGTAACCCTGTGGTTTAAATCACTGATATGTCACTGCTGTTTCCACAGCAGTTTGTATAGCTTTCCAAGCAACATCTGGGTCAACCTCGTTTTCAGAACTACCTAATTGTGACGTCAGTTGTTCCTGGAACCTGCTTTTGGTTTTCTCGCTACTCAATTCAATTTTAATGGGTTTTTTTACTGTGGCTCTTTTGCGTCCAGTGAGGCGCAAGCAGATGCGTACCCGTATCAGGGCGTGGTCGGAGTCCAAGCAGGTACTCCAGAATGAGCGACAGTCTTCTATCGAGCCTCCCCAACGATGACTGATGGCAATATGGCCTATTTGAGTCCACCGTTGGTTTGGTGCAGGGGGTCACCATGTTAGACGATGTCTCTCCTTATGCTTTAGATCAATGTTTGCTAAAAATAAACGATTGTCTGAGCACAGTTGCAGCAGACGATCACCATTATCTGTTCACTGAGCCAGAATACTAAAATACCCACCTAAATCTCTTACTGTTTGGTTTAGGTTACATACATGGGTATTAAAGTAACCTGCTACAAGTACTATGTCTGAGTGTTCAGCTTTCTGAAGAAGCTCAGAAAGCTTTCTATAAAATTCATCTTTCACTTCATCCAGGCTACAGTCAGTGGAAGCGTAGGCAGAAACGACGAAAAGGCAACGACGTGTGTCCCTATCCTTCCGAGTTATTACGAAGACATTTAGCCTAACAGCACATAGACGACTGCTGATGGGGATCCATCCTAACATTGCTTGTTCTGCCCTCGTACTTAATGCAATGCCTACACCTGCCAGTCCGCGAGAACTAGCCATCGGGTCGCCAGATACACGAGGAGTATATCTCTTCGGCTTCCCATTTTGGTCAGGTCATGTCAGTGAGGTCAAGTGAATGACCACACTAGGATCCCGCATACGTGTTTCGGAGACTCGGCATACATCAATGGTACGAGATTGTTACTTATGCCCAACCACCGACTGCCTCGACGTGCGATGTTCAGTAGTGTAGGAGTAGGTTGGAAGAAAGCTAGGGGCGGCCAGACCAAAACATGGCACAAGTCCATGAAGTCACTGATAAGTGGACTGAGTCATGTTGGTAGGTGTAGACTACCTGGTTGGGGACTGCGAGATGATAGCAACCGATGGTTAGAGACCTTGAATGACATGGCTCAAAATCGTTTGCAATGGCGCAGGTGCATACACTCTTTGTGTTCTTCCAACTTCTAATCTCCTGATTCCTACTTGTCTTTCTTTTTCTGTTCCCAAATTTATTTCACTGTATTATACTCTTTAAATAACATCTCCAAACCCAAATCTTCCCGATTACTGCTTATACTCTTTACTACCTCCACCACTATGGGATTTGAATAGACAACTGCATCTCTGTGCTAATGTGGTACGGTAACTCGAACTGATGTACGTACGTACGAAGTTCTACGTTGTTACTGACTGACTGACTGACTGACTGACGAGATTCTAGAGTTTTAGCCAAGGAGGCCTGTTGGCCTATTGGACATAGGGTTCGTACGTTGAAGGTTCCAATGTGTAGTTTGGAGCGAGGTTTCAGTAGACCCGAGACAATATTTTGAGCACTAGTATCGTTGGCTATGGTGACACTTGAGAAGTAAGCCAAAAGAGGAAGTTTAGCGTTGAAAGTTGATGTGGGAGGAATAATAGGAATTGAAGAGGGAGATCGATTATGAATACAGTGATCTTGAGTGCTGTTAGGGGTATGAGGGTAGTCATCACTTCCCGGTTGCCCACACTGTAGAAGAGTTCTTCTGGAGGTACCTGAAAAAAAATTGGATTAGAGGTGGTCTTAGTGACCTGAGAGAGTGACTGCAGTGCCCAAGGGACAACTTCTTGAGGCTGGTCATACATGACTTTTGTGTTAGCTCCGCTTCGTACTTGTTGAGACCTTACCACCGGAGACGGATATCCACGGGATGAGGTGAGGTGTATATTTTTAAGGTCGACCTTTTCTAATCCTACCCTTTCTTTGTGGGAATGCAGCAACGCCGTTATGCTGGTTGTCTAGAGGAAACACCTTACAACTATCACACCTCTGTACAGTCGGCAGTACGACTTCGCCCTCTGACCTTGGGTTTACCGCTTTTAGTCTTACCGCTCTTCAACCGACCTCTCTGGCATGATAGGATCTTGAGGAACGATTGTTCAAGCCAGGATAGATCGATTGGTTCATCACGATAGTCAAACCCGACCATCACGTCAAGGTAGCAGCAACGATCGGGAACTTTCTTTTACTGTACGGAATTATTGAATTAGCAGGTTCACGGTCAAAAAAATGTAAAGACTCAATAAGAAATCAGTTGTTCATAGCACAAATCAAACTAATTAAAATGTAACTGATTGATCACGGAATAGTGATCAATGTCACGTTTTTCAAGTCCTTCAGTGCTGACCACAATTCAATTCATCAGCTTGTAATGTGGTCACCGGTCTAAGTAACCCTAAATCCCGTGTAATATGTTGCGGTGTGACGTAGTTGGAGATACACAGGTAGGAAACCATGCAAGCGTACCTACAATCTTGAGGGGACTGATGCTCCCTATGAAATTCGAACCCGTGTCATCCAGTTTTGCAGTTTGGGGCGGCTAGAATTAAGGGACCAGACGGGTACATTGGGCCAACGAGAAATTGGTCAGATGATAACTGCATGGTATTAGCTAAGAAACAGTTTTTATTGCCAAGGGATGAGACATGCACGGTTTGGTCAATAGACTCCTCTTCAAATGTCAGTCTTTCACTTAAATAGCATGGTTGGGCTCGTTGTATAGGAAGATTGGGTATCACTATTAGTACTCGCACATCACAAATCGCAACACATACAAAAATTATTTAATATTTAGTTAGTTGTAAATATCATTGACCAAACGATCAGTCGTGACCTGAATAGCTTGATGATAACATTGAAGATAATAAATATGATACGAAAATATGACAGCAAACGTTTGCCTTAAAACATTGAAATCAAGCAATCTAGTGATAAAGGGGAGCTCCTAGTTATCGAATTCTAATATGCTTAATCTCATGAAAGCCATCACAATTCAAGCTGAACCTGTGAAACTTACTTACTGATGACCAGTAGGCAATTCAGTTGACTTAGAAGGTTTGTAATTATTCAGATGTTGTTCTGACATCCATCTGCGTTCTGTTTGCAACCGAACCTGAATGAAACAATAAAATTACTATTTTTAAATAACATCTTCGTTTTATTAAAATTACAATTTTTGATAAATGAATTTTAGATATTTCCTAACAAAGATGTACCAATCTAAATTTAAACAAATTATAATAATGCGTTGATGAAAAGTACTATAAACGACCGACACAAGGTTTTCGACAATGAAAGTGATCACTTTGTGCGAACAACAAAACCTGCCCCGCGAATGTTAGCAGGATATAGATTGGATTAAAGCATGTTCCGTGCACGATTGTATTAGGGCACGTTGACTAGCTATTTCTTAACTAATCAAAGCTAGCGACTACTTGGGGAAGACTCTAGAATCTAATGTGAAAATTATAAATATATTAACGTTTTTCTTATTGCGATTCTTACTTGGACCCAACCATCTTATTTTGAATATAATTATGTCTCTGTTCAACTATGTTCTGACTTGAGAACTTGTCGAGTGAAGTAGTAGCTAAGAGTACTAAGCAATGAGTAACTGGGTCGTAAATAAAAAGAGAATTCATAACAAGAGTAGGTAAATTTATAGATGAACATCGATCTATCTTTCTATAGACTTATACATTCATCACAAATAAAATACGTTTCGAAGATGAGTACGAAAACCCAGACATAATTATTGATTTACATTGTGGTTTTTCTCATGCTTAACATTTTATTAATCCTCAGTAATTCTCCTTTCTGATCCTGTTTCGTTTTTTAGTTGATATCGCTGCATTTAGACCTGCTTAAATATTTGGGCTTTAGTGAACAAGAACACGGGTGGGGACAATCGAATGTGTTTGACTCACACTTCATTGTTCTTGCATTTTCAGACAAATTGCATCCTGTTTCCATTCTTTACTGTTCGATCCTCTTTTCTCTCTGCTGCCAGATATTCTGTTCACGACTAACATCATATACTACTTATATCTATATAAGTAGCACACACCACAGAGCCACCTGTTCCTGCCATCTGGATATTTCAAAAACTTATCTTTTGCTTGTTTGTTTTAACACATCATTATGCCTATTAGTCTCATAACCTATTCAGGTGCGTTTGTAAAACGATTACTACATTTCGTTGTACAACTTACAAAAGAGCCTAATCAAAGATATTGTGGTTGCTGGTAATATGCATCGAAAAGAATATGCCTTATTCCAATGTCGATTCATGGACTGCTAACATTTAACTGGCGACCATTCAATATTTATCGTAAAGATCGATCAAGAAATAAGAAAAGGAAACTTGTTGAAATACTTTATGATGAGAATTTTATATTTTACCAAAAATATAATATTTAATAGTCACTAATAATGATAATAAAATAATAGAAATGTGGGGAATTAAACCGAAACACTTCTCAATGGACTTTTAAATTAGTTCGTTTGCTTGTAAAAGTATATTTTGAATCTGAATATGATGAATGTCGTGAAGCTGTATGATCATATACTCATATCTATACCATAAAATCTAAAATCTTTTTTATTTGTAAAAAGCAAACTAAATACAACATCAAACACTCCATGTGATCAATAAAATGTTCGTCAAAAAAGAACAAATTTTATGATTTACCTTAATTAGATCAATGGGACTTGCTAAGAACTGAGCAAAAGATCCAGCTATTACCCCAGTAAAAGCTGCTTGAATAACAAATTTCGAATTATTCTCATAAATTAGTTCAGTGTTCGTTTCTTCCCTGGCAGATAGTTTCTGTTTTGGCATAACATGTGACTTATCTATGGCAAATAGATCATGATTTAGAAACACACACCTGAGAAAGAATTCTTAGTTGATTTTACAGTGAAATGACTTGCAGGAGGTAAATGGAAAATATCTTGGCGAATAATTTCATAGATTGGCATCCTTGCTCCTGTATAAACTATGAGAAAATAATATACCATGTAAAAAACGAAACAAAACCCTCGAAGATAAAAAAATTAGTATGTTAAATAACTTCTAATATTGCAACAGATGAATTGCAAAAATGGTAGTCAATAAGACTTCCAAGTGTAGTAGAAAGTGATTCATACCTCCGGATTTGAAAGTAATCGGGAATCTCATGGACTCAGGATCATCAAAGCATCCTTCAAAACAAAGAAGGAATCACAATCAATGTCAGTCAGTCAGCTACAACGTAGGGACAATTAACAACAGTCGGACAAGGACAGAGAAAGTCAAGGCACAAGCTGAATACACAGAAGCAAACAAGTAAGTGAAGAAGAGCATTAGAACCGACAAGCAGAAATACGTGGAAGACCTACCTAGCAAGGATAAAGGAAAAAGCTGTAAGAGAAGGAAATATGAAACAACAATACGACACAACAGACAAACTGGAAGGGAAATATTGTAAACCAGAGAGACTAGTCAAGGACGAAGAAGGTAAGCCAATCACCGAAATTCAAGGACAAAGGAACAGATGAGCAGAACACATTGAGGAACTTTTCAATAGACCAGCTCCATTGAATTCATCGGACATCGAAGTAGCACACATAGAACTTCCTATAGATGTCACCCCACTAACGAACGAAGAAGCAGGATGGTCGGTTATCAGACAAATGAAGAGTGGGAAAGCAGCACGACCTGACAATATACCAGCCGAAGCACTTAAGTCAGACACAGAAGTAACTGCAAACATGCCCCACTCTCTATTTAGAAAGATTAGGGAGGAAGAACAAGTGCCGACAGAGTGGAAAGAAGGAATTCTCGTCAAGATACCAAAGAGAGGTCTGAGCAAATGTGAGAACTCTAGAGGCATCACACTACTGTCACTACCACGAACGGTTTCCAAACGAGTGTTGCTGAACCGGATGAAAGACTCAGTAGACGCCCAATATCGAGATCAACAGATCGGATTCCGTAAGGATCGGTCATCCACAGATCAAATTGCGACAGCACAGATCATCGTTGAGCAACCAATTGAACGGAGTTCACTTCCTCGATTATAAGAAAGCATTTGACAGTGTGGATAGGAGAAACTTATGGAACCTTCCTTAACATTGTGGAGCAAGTAGCTGAGAAAATTGTCAACATCTTGAGGAATTCATACGACGAACTTCAGTGCAAAGTCGTGCGTGGAGGACAGCTGTCAGACAAGGCTGTTTACGCACTCTCTCCCTTCTGTTTCTTATGTTGGTTGACTGGATTATGAAGACCATCAAATCTCAGGGGAAGCACGAAATAAAACGGACGGCTTGGATGCGACTAGACGATTTGCCCTTCCACCGCATATGCATCAACAGATGCAGGTCAACACAAACAGTGTAGTAGCAATAGCCTCTGAATCAGTACGCCTCAACATACACAAAGCAAAAAACAACATCCTCGAATGCAACACAGAGAATACCAACCCAATCACACTTAGTGGAGAAACTGTGGAAGAGGTGGATTGTATAACGTACATGGGAAGCATCATCGATTAACAAGGATCTGATGAAGACACAAAGGCAAGGATTGGAAAAACAAGGACTGCATTCCTACGGCTGAACATATGGAACTTAAAACAACTGCCAACCAATATTAAAGTCACAATCTTTAATACCCACGTAAAGACAGTTCTACTATGGGAGAGAATAAACCAGGTTCTAGCTCAGGAGGAAATTAGGAAAAGACGTTGGAAGTGGATAGGATAGACATTGAGGAAATCATCAAGTTGCAACATGAGGCAAGTGCCAACTTCGAATCATGAAGGGAAATGGAGAAAAGGAACGCCAAACAACACACTGCATCGGGAATTGGAAGCAGATATGAAAACGATGAATAGCAACTCGAAAGGCGTGAGTATGTGCATTTTATTATATTATTTGTATTTATCAACCATTAAATGAAACAGTGAGTAACTGTGAAAATTACTTCCTTTAATCATCAGAAAAATTCGATAAAAATAAAACGTCTTACCATGCGAGCCCATATCGAAAAGAAACCTTTGTACAAAGCTGAGAATCCCTCATTTTTAACAGTTTTACGAAAACAATCAATCACTCCGGCATATAATAGACCGCTTCCATTTATTGACGACGATGCTGTTATACGTTGATTCATCATTCGTGTTTTTATCACATCAGCTGGTGTTAAAAGTACTGCCGCAATCTTTTGGAGAAAACGACGATCGAACACAGAGAGTTGTCTAACATCCTCAATTCAAAGAGTCCAGGTTTCACAGGCATAGAGAACTGCTCTCACCGACGCGTTATAGATCAGACCTTTTACAACCAGACTAACATCACAAAGGCGCCAAAGAGGGCCCAGATTGGCATAAGCCGCTCTGGCTTTCACTATACGTGTATTGATCTCATCACTCACGCCACCACCAGCACTTATGCAGCTACCTAGATACACGAACTACTCGACTACTTCTATCTGCTCACTACTCAGGGTGAGTGCAGGATCAGGGTCCTGCCGGTCTCCAGACAACAGACCAAAACCGCCATTACTTACATTCATCAGAGCTGTTTCCAGAATGTCATCGACGGCAAAACTGAAGAAGAATGGTGAGATTGGGTAACCCTGCCTAACCCCACTGCTCGGATGGAACAAGGAAGAGAGGTGGTTGTATGCCCTCACTCTGCCTGAGGTGTTTTTATATAGAACCTTTAAGATGTTAATAAACTTCTCAGGCACACCCTTCTTCAATAGACAATCCCAGAGAACAGTCCTGTCTAACGAATCGAAGGCAGCCCTGTTGTCGAGAAACACTACAGTTTTTGGCTTGTGATAATTACGACGGTGTTAACATATGGCAGAGGGTGAAGATATGATCAATACATCCTCGACCACAACGAAAACCAGCCTGCCCCTCGCGAGTCAATCTTTCTCGGGTTTTGAACAGCCTACGAAGTACGACAGAAGCCAATAGTTTGGGCGCAATCGAAAGTAGACTTATTCCCCAATAGTTGGTACGGAAACGACATGGACCGTTTTTAAAGATAGGGAGAACTATTAACTCAATCCATGATGTTGCCTCCGAAGGATTGCTGACATTCAGTGGCAACACCATGTCAGTAATGCAGAGGTTTGGCATCGTGTGTTCGGGCACAGAGATGATAATTCAATTGGTGTCACCATCTTGAAACACCGACTTCGGTGGCTTGGACATGTTCTACGAATGTCATCCCAGAGAATTCCGCGTCGTGCATTATTTGCCGACTCTGGGACTGGTTGGAAGAAGCGGAGAGGTGGTCAGTGCATGACATGGTGTCGTGGTATGAAAGAAAGCTGCAAAGGACTGGGTTCTGTCGGTCCTTCACGGCTCCCTGGTTGGGGTCCGAGAGATGGTGCTACACAGTGGCTAGAGACGTTATCAGATATGGCTCAGAATAGAAGCCAGTGGCGATCCTGCTGTAACCTTCTTTTACTTTCTTCATAAAAAGTGGTTGTGTCTCCCTTACCTGAAAGATTTCTTCTGATTGTACCTTTCCGTTCCATCGTTACTACCACACTACCTTACACCAATCTCTTCGTTATTGTTCTCTTTTTCTTTTTGCGCTCCTTAGTTTTTTTTTATTCTCTTCGAATTCTCATTGTTTTGTGTGGCGCATATATATTGGCGCTCTTCTGTACCAATGGTCATGTGTTCAAATAATAATAATAATAATAATAATAATAATAATAATAATAATAATAATAATAATAATAATGTTGAAACACTCTAGCTCCCAAACCTTTGTAAGCAGTGTAGTCATTTCCTTAACCAGAAAGTCACCACCATCTTTAAAAAGATGCGAAGGTAGGTCGTCTTTACTTTTCATAATGAATGTAAATGAACTCCCAAGTATAGTTGTCCCCAACGTTACTATACGCTGATGATGTAAAAGTCTGGCGAGAAATGACCGGAGACGCAGATGCATGCGTCCTCGAGGCAGATTGAAATATTGTGATTGACTGGTCTAAAGAGTGGCTTATGCCTATCAACAAGGCAAAGTGCCTGTACCCCGTTGGTTCGGTTTCACAAGGATCTCTGGGAAAGTGAGTCATCATCTTAAGACCACTGCCCACTGACGCGAAGTCACAGTTAAGGGGTTTAAAACCATGTGTGCCTTAAGATGGACATTCACCAAGTTAGATAATACTATGTTCACTGCAGAATACACAATTTTAGCGAGATACAACCCTATAATATGAATTCAGGATACAAGCAATTCCAGAACTCAAGGGTTTGCCACATAAAGTGCGGCTTCAAAAACTAGACTTCTTTAATCTCTCATAACTTAGATTAAGAGGTGAACATAATTTGGTGTATAGGGTAATAAGAGATGGTTTTGGACCTGAATTATCCTTTCTTTCACTTCACACTAGATCGGGACATCTCGGAAGACACAACAGGCGAGTCTAAAAGTAAAGAATGAACAAAACATCTGTAGCATACAGGTTTTCACACCGAATCATCAATACTTAGAACCTGTTACCCAAAACAGTGGTGTCCGCAACTTCAATTAACTCATTTAAGAAAAGACCTGACACTCATAGAAGCAAACTAAAAGAAGGAATAGCATAGGCCGTAGGCCATCTGTCCTTACTACACAAATTCAGTCTACAGTAATAAGGATAGTAGGTTGGTGAACCTGTATTAATCCAGACACATTGCTTTCCAGTGAAGGTCCAGCTTTTCCTTGAAAGTATTCACTGATGGGGCTGATACCACTTGTTCGGGTAAGGCGTTCTAATCATTGACTACTCGATGAGAAAAACGGGACCCCACTTTAAGTTTATTAGATCGTGGTTTATGAACCCTTTTGCTATGACCTCGGAGATTATTAGTACTGGAGTGAGCAAAAAGATAAGACATATTAACACCCAAATCATAATTAAAGATACGAAATGTCAGTACGAGGTCACCTCGTGTCCTACAATACGACAAGGAGAAAAGATTTAGGCGTTTTAAACGCTCATCGTAAAGGAGTCTAGAAAGACCCTTCACTAATTTCGTTCCCACACACTCGACGCGCTCAAGGTAGTTAGTATTTTTTACCAGACACGGGCTAGCTGCTTGGATACAGTACTCTAAATGTGGTCTAACATATATGGGATATAAAATTCGAAACGTTTCCTCGTCAAAAGATTTGAACGCTCGGTGAAGTGACCATAACGCATGAAAACCTTTGACAGCGGCTGCTTTGCAATGCGTAGTTGTTTTTAAATCATGACTCAATACTACTCCTAAGTATTTATGCTCTTGAACGCATGGAAGATATATATATTTGTACGTATAATACCTAACACATTGGCAACGCAGTTTACTTTAAACACTTACTTATGTGTCTGAAGAGTGCTGGAGATAATCCTTGCCAAAGTTTAAACAGACCTTCATTTCTTATGACAGAAGAACAAATTTTAATAACTCCAGGGTATGATGAGTTCTGTAGTTCTCCATAAACCTGAATGCGAGTTTTAAGTATATCGAGTGGGTAGGTGACTAAACAATCACAGTTACGCAGAAGCAACTCACTAGTTTCTGAAAGAAAAGCGGCAGAACAACACATGCAAAACTTTAAGGTTGAAGGATAATCCCTGTTTGTTGTATCCACTAGAGATTTCAGCAGACTAGTAGCCATTTACACGAAATATATTTCAACCGCTATTCACCGATAACACATCAGTTCACGTTACAAATCTACATCAATAGGAAAGTAAACACAAATGAGCAGAAAATACACTGGAACGGAATCGGCAAATATTCAAAGGGACCGACCACTGACAAAGGTTACTGAGCCCTTGAAGGTCAAATCGTCGTTAAATGATTGACGCGTCACCTCGACAATTCGTCAGTTTTGCAAAAGCGGTCAAATCAGTCTTCGGTAATAAGGATTTTCACGTCATCCGCAAACAATAATGTCGACGACATAAGCAACAGCGCTAACTCATTAACATAGGGAAGGAAGAGCAGAGGGCCTAAGATGGTGTCTTGGGGTACACCACTTTTGACCGGCTTCCAATCGGATAGCGTTCCGTTGACCCTCACTCTCTGTCTGCGGTCACATAAGAAGTTACCTATCCACTCCTGTACAGTACCTATTATTCCGAAGCTCATGAGCTTCTACATAAGATCTACGTGTGAAACCTTGTCAAATGCTTTGCTAAAATCTATGAATATCACATCGACAGGCAGGCCTTTATCTAAGGCTGCTGCCCAATCCTCTCTCGCATTAAGAAAGTTAGTCAAGCATGAACGCTTGTTACGAAATCGATGTTGCTCAGGAGCTAACAGATTTTGTGAATCTATGTGGCTTAGCAACCTAACCTGAATCATCTTTTCAAGTAACTTAACGACAATTCTAGTTAGACTAACAGGCCGGTAGTTAGATAAGATCTGACCATCCTTAAATATAGGACTGACTTAAGCGTCTTTCCAATCTCTAGGGACATGTTGAAGAGTGTCGCGTGTCGTGTGAATTAGTTAGTCTCCGCTTGAAATGCAAAGGACAAGAGCTGCTGATTGGTTTCGTCTATCGCGGTCCAAGCTATGAGGTAAGTGAGGTCCTGCTAAACAGTCTCAATACTTGGACACAAAGTGGTCGATGTCTAATCCTAGGGGACTTTAATGCGGAGTGGTCTGAGGGTCCACCAAGGACTTATCAAGCAAACGGTCATTAGTTTTAGCCGTCTTTCCTACTCTTCTGTGTTTCCGTGTCATCCATATTCCATCAGTCGTAGCATCCAAATTAGAACCACTCGGGACAGTAATTATTGCTGCTCTAGCATCATGGCCACCGATATCTAATGAGGTGTCACTCACTGATTGTTTCGGGGTAGACGGTTTAATTGCGGGTTTCACAGCTAGATGTCTGGCTTGTGTTGTGGCGGCACTTACGACAATGACGCAATCTTTGCCATCAGTGGACGACACCCTTGAAGTATTTCTTGTCTTTCGTTGACTGATGATGTTTTTTCTTGAGATTAATGGATTAATGTTTGCTTTGGAGTAACATCAACACAGGTTCACAAACTTTTTATCCTCAATACTGATGACTGAACTGATTAAGCGATAACGCATGGAGTACCTTCATGTTCTATCTGTTGATTTAAAGTAATCATTGAATCACTTTTGAAGATCGGCAGATAATGCCGTCACCTTAGTATCTGATCGAGAGTACTTTAGCGGTTCCAATGGGTGTGCACGGAATGGAAAAAGCTTTCGCCCAACGGGCTAGCGTGTCTATTAGCAGTAGATCATCAATGCCTCCAGGCAGGAACCTGGGTATACAAACGATAAAAGAAGAAAAAGAAATCGATAAATCATGGTAAAACACTATGTTTAGTCCTTGAGTATATGCCAAGTTTCCGCTTAAACGCCTTCTAAGTAGTCGCTTGAACTAGCTCAGTCTGCAGCGAATCCCAGCACTTGACAGCTCTTAAGGAGTAGATACTGTGCATATTCTCGGTTCTGCTATGTTGTGTCTAAACTTCCTGTGTGCTTCTCTTTAGTGTTATGTTGGAACTTAACTTAAGTAGGTGTTTAAGGCGATGTCCAGAACTTTTAAAGGTGCTTTAAGCCATTAGAAGGTTACCTCTAAGACTTCTGTGCTCTAGTGGGTAGAAATCTAGTGATCGGAGGTGCTCTTTATAAGGCTCGAATTTGAGTCCTCGAAATGATTTCGCGACTCGCCGTTGGATACATTCCAGAGTGTCCTATTTCTTTTGGAGTGAGGGAGGAAATACTATATGCAGTTGGCACAATCTGCACTCAAGCAGCCTAAGGGAATATTCTCGTACATAAACTACAGAACAAGGACGCATCATTGGATTCTCAACCTAATCAAAGAAGGGAGTTAATCTGAAATGATAGAGGGAGATCAGGAAAAAGCAGAGGCTATGGCCAACTATTTCGGGGCAGTTTGCACTGAGGAACCTCCTCTAAAGAAAGAACCATACCCAATTACAGAGCCGACAAACCAGCTGCTTACCGTGGACTTCGACCAAAACGATGTGCTTAAGGCTCCTATCACTTTAAACGTAGAAAAGTCAACAGAACCAGATGAACTACACCCTAAAATCTTGAGACATATTGCACAATATTTCGCGGCCCCACTGAGTGTGATATTCAATATGTCACTTTATCAAGGTGTGCTACCTATGAACTAGAAAGACGCACTCGCCACTCCCATACATAAAACAGGACCAAGACAACTTCCATTGCACTATAGACCTGTAAGCCACACCAGTGTTGTAGTTAAAATATAGGAAAGAATAATCAAACGGACCATAACGACATTTATGGAAACCAATAACTTGTTAAACATAGAACAACATGATTTTAGAGAGGGTTTATCTTGTACAACGAACCTCCTTACAACGACGGCTCGTTATCGGGAGGTCGCAGCTTAGGGGTTTAGAACACTTTGGGCTTTAAAACGGACATTCATCAAGTTAGATACTACCATGTTCTCCACAATATACACAGCCCTAGTGAGAACTAAGATTGATAACTGCATTCAGGCTGCAAGCTCCTGTTTAAAAGGTGACTCGGATATCCTAGAAGAAGTACAGTGGGCAGCAACCTATGCAATGCCAGAACTCCGCGGTTTGCCACATAGAGAGCGGATTGAAAAGCTAGACCTCTTTACTCTATCCTAACGCAGACTAAGGGGAGACCTAATTTTGATCTTTAGAACACTAAGAAATGCTTTTGGACCTGACTTATTCTTTCTTTTACTTCATATAAGATCGGGACATCTCGGAAGACACAGCAGGCGAGTCTAAAAGTAAAGAATGAACAAAATATACTTATTTACTTACTTAAGCCTGTTACTCCTGGTGAAGGAACATAGGCCGCTCACCAGCAGTTCTGATTTCTCATTCCAAGGGAAAATTATCAGCTCGCTCACTGTTTGACTTGAAATCAATGACGACTAACTTCGTCAACAATCGAGGATAGTCCATGGATTCCTCTTTATTTGCTAGCCTGCCATCTTATTCTGTAGCATGCAATTTCTTCTACAACTATCGCTGACGGTTTGCTACATGCTCGTAAGAGTAAAAGTGTGAGAAGATGAAACAAGAATATCTGAGGAGTCGCCGCGAGTGGGCTACCCAACACCACGTTGGTGAGGTACGATTTTCCCATGCTCTGTCCGGCTATCAGGTGTTTACTCACCAGCCTCTTTAGCCGCCCTCAAGTAAAAAATAAAGAAGGATCTTCAAAGGTAATGATGTAATTCAATCAAACCTTAACCACTGCTCGACAGCCTGCATAAAATAATAAGGTACAAAATAGAAATACACAAATATAATTGATAATTGTTCGGTTCCACGTAGGTGATTAGCTTCCAGAATGGATCGGCGTTATGGAAAGAAATAGACATCATGTAGACATCCTGTGTATGAAAAAAATACTGTTTTAGAATGCATATTTGTAAATGTGTGAATTTGACAGAAGCTGGACTCCCGATCAAAATATACGACCTTGAGTCCATGATGACCGCCTTTTATAACCAGATACGTAACCGCGGGTGCATAAGAATACTCCCCAAAACGGAAAATAATATGCGGTTAAAGAGCAGAGGAAAATTCTAAAAACTACGAGGATCAAATGTATTTGTGTCAGACACCCTTTGCTGGTTTGATGTCGGCTTAGTTGTTTGAGGTCAACTCTTAACCAATCAACCTAAGCTGTTACGAACCCGAACAACAGCAACGGCTAAACGATACTCTCAGACAGTTCAACCTACCCACATTAACTATATTCGTCAAAGCTCCATGTGCAACTGCACTGGAGTTTCCAAATTGCTAGGTCCCAATGAAAGTCCTAATGAACTCCGCCTGTAGCTCTCCTAGAGTTACTGCCGGTCCCAACCCCGGGTAAAAGAGAAGGGTTGGGCATGCGTTTAGCGACCACATCCCGTAGAAAACGAATTCGCCAGAAAAATTAATTCAAACCATTTAAACTCTGTCCCAGGAGTTAGAAGGTTTTCATTTAGAGGAGTTATGACGCCTCATGGTTAAATCTGAGCTCCTTCGGAAGTCACGAGGCCAACGCTTTCTCTAACAACCAGAGCAACAATTTTTATAGGTACATGGAACGTCCGTACAATGTGGGAGACTGGGAAGACCAGTCAAATAGTAACGGAAATGAGGAGATACAATTTGGCAATACTGAGAATCAGCGAAATCCATTGGACCCAAGCTGGACAACAAGGGCTAAATACGGAATAGATGCTGCTCTACTCCGAACGCGAAGAGGAAGATGCTCCACACACTCAGAAAGTTGTTCTACTGCTGTCCAAAGTAACACGAAATGCACTTGTAGGATGGGAATATCACGGATTCAGAATCATTCAAAACAAAGAAGGGGATCACGATTAATGTTATCCAGTGTTATGCACCCACCAATGATAGCAACGACGACATTAAAGATCAATTCTACGAGCGGCTGCAGTCAATCATAGATAAGTGCCCAAGAAAGGACCTCACTATTCTGATGGGAGATCTAAACGCCGAAGTCGGTATGGACAAAACCAGATATCAAGATATCATGGGACGACATGGATTGACTGGGAGAGAGAAACGAAACTGGAGAAAGATTTGCAAATCTGTGTGCATTCAACAAATTGGTCAT